TATATATATATATATATATATACATATATATTAACAAATCTAAGAGATCCGTATCAAGATTGTTTGCTTTTGTTATGCGTTTACATTGAAAAAATTATTGACAACAGATAAATGTTTACCGGATTTTTTAAAACACACTGATATCAATAAAATACAACTTGCATTCTGAATATCAATAACCAGTCACGTCTCTGGGATCCATGCGTTATGAAGTCAAATCACAGTATTCCACACACACACACACACACACACACACGCACACACTTGTAATCCCGACCTACTACACAATCTATCTGCGCCTCCCCTCTTGGTGATGCCTACAGTGTTTACAGTTGGACTGAGGGGGATTGGAGTCGATGGGTGCATTTACATGGTAATGACCCTGGGGTCACATGCTGTACGATCTGCTCGTACCTGCGTGTTTGTCTGCTCCGGCGCAGTTTGTTTGGAGATCCGTGGGAGTGTTTACCAGCGTAGGTTGAGGAATTTCAGGTCAAGAGAGCGCCGTGTACAGAGGAAACCTATGACCGAATTGATCTCCATATTGACATCAAAGAGCACCCGAGCCACCCAGCTCCACTGGCTGAAAACAAAATATTTAGCCTGTGGTGACGTACCAATAGTAGCGAAATACAAGAAAGAACAGACTTTTGGCAGGCACGGCTGTGTGCGTACTGCATATATTGTACTGTAAAAATGTGTGTGTGTGTGTGTGTGTGTGTGTGTGTGTGCTGCAGCTTGAAACACTATTTGTAATACTTGAAGTACATACATTTTATGGAGTGAAATTTTAAAAAGCGTGAACAGGATATTATTAAAAAATAAATAACCAGCTCTGCTGAGAGGTTTGGTGATACATCATTTGTGCCATCTGTTCTTCTTCCCGTTGGATGGCATCATGTGCCAGGCCCAGTGTCCAGTCCGCTCGCAGAGCTTCTCCAAGCTGGTCCCACCTGGCACAACTGTCCTCGAAATTCACACTGTCGCAGACGGCCCGAGGAGTGTGGAGGCTGCCATGACTCACTTCAGACACGACCGACTGTGGAAGGATCAGCGGCGTTGAGAAACAAGCTCGGCCTCCAACAATTACAGAGCAGACAGCCTTAATCATAGATTAATGAAAACTTCATGCGCTTCAGCCTGTTCCCTTCATGAGAGCCCCATCTGTTCAGAGAGATCAGCCACAGAGAGAAATGATCCCTGGTTACCTTCAAACAGACTGAACCGAAAGTGATTTACAATCAATGTTCGAGGGTGCCCAACAGCCATCGGTGCCAAGAGAAACAAAGCCTTTGGCTTGTGATGCATGTCATCGTGATCACCGTCCAACAGCACGCCGTCCAAGAAGCCGTCACAAATTTCACTTATGACTTAACACCCAACCAACGCATCCACCCGATATTTCCACCAACCACAAAACATGTACAGTTTTAAGTCTGCTTGTTTCATTCTCTCTTGGAGGTTAACGGAGTTCGAATGTAAAGGTCGTGTGATCATTGTTTTTGAGTGCTTTTGTTTCAATGTGTAGAGTCCCTTTGCAAAGCTGGCGTCTTCCGCATGAGGTCTGCCACGCAATTTACATATTTCCGTGTTTCCAATCAGTCACAGGGCCTCAGTCGACTATATATAGTCAAATTGAATGGAGAGGAACACAGAGTTAAATACTATTAATGAATCTGACTGTTTGGGAATTCATATTTACATCAGAGGGCCAAGAAACAACACAACACAAAAATCACATGGCTGGCCACAAAAATTACCATTTTACATTGTCATTTTCCCTCAGCTCCCCTCCGGCCGCGGCTCATAAGTAAGCTCGCACACTGAAAGGACAATGTGTGATAGCCCCCCTGTGTGGAACCGAGGGGAGCTCCATGAATAACTCCCCTCGCAGCAGTGAATGGCACTTTGCTTTCCCACAGTATTACTCAGTCTACACCCCCAACACGGCAGGACAAGCAGCGAGCCCAGGCGGTGGCTAAGCGCCCCTCTCCAAGCCGCCATTCGCACACAATAACTGTTAAATGGAGCGAACAGCACTGAGAGACTTCTGTTTATTTAGGTACATTAATGAGTCTTTCGCACTGTGACTCTGCCACATGCTTTGCAAAATGTAAATGATCTACTATTGGATGTAATGATGCTGGACTCCCGTGTCTTAACTACACTCCGCTAGAACATCCCAATAACATGATAACCTGCGTGTTTGTGCGTTGAGGGGCCACCTTACCACACACACTGCCTATCGATTCTTCCACGTTAGCTTCCACAAACGGACTGATAAGTATCCACTGGTCCTCATGGATGCATCGCCCACATGAATGCACCCCTCTTCATTTGGATTAAGTATTTGGGATGAGTGTTATTCACTGCTCAACGATGTCTTTGCTCTTTTCAATCAAAACGGAGGGCAGGTTCATACAAGCGACCCTGTATTGATGTTCATGAATGGGACACACACACACACACACACACACACACACACACACACACACACACAGCCATAGCGTAGGACAGATGCTGCACCTTTCAAAGTACTAATGTACTGTATGTGATGAATAAGTGGAGGGAAATGTTGCTTTTCCTCCTTGCACAACATCATCTGCCCCGGTACCTGCTTTGTTTACTAGCCCGTGCGTGTTCCACCACACCGGAGGGGTTTTTCCACTCCCATATAATTTGACTGACAGGACTACGTTTGACAGCTCAACATGAGCTTTCTGTCTTTTTGTAAACACTGCGGTGAAATGGATGAAATATGGAGTATAGGCAACTGCATTTGTTGGATTTGTCAACTTCTTTTTTTTTTTTTTTAATGGTTAAAATCAGTGTATGGCAAAATAAGAAAGTTGTGACTGAATTATGAATGTGATTTTTTTTATGTGTATAACAATGCAGGTGTTTGTGCCTGACATGAATGTGTCATCTCTCAGCACTGCTGTGACAAGGGAAGACTAAAAACAAAACAAAAAAACTCCACGACTGCTTTATATTTCATTGGCAACCCAGACGGCCTATAACAGAGGGAAGCCGCAATAAATCTCTCAATGTGTGACTACGGGCTCAATATGATTTCCCACTGGGAGAGTAGACTGTCATCAATTTATTGTCAGAACTATGTGTCTCCAAAAGGGAGGTTTACGGCCTTCAATAGTGTTCAGTGGGAGGGCCTGCCACACCACATCACTAATTTTAAGTCCCCTCTTGTGTAATGTCTTGGACGGCTTCCAGGACACATGAATGCTTCTGGTATCTCCTCACGACATGTACGTCCAAAACGCAGCTTCATTCAAGGAGCACACTCTAATATGGGAAAAAACAAACAACAACTTTGATTTAGCCTTAAATATCTATCGTACGTTTTAAAATACCAGCAGAGAGAGGGGGGCTGTCTCAAACACACCATGCCAGAACTCACAGCACTTTTGACAAGCACATTGAGGGAAGCAATAAGGCAAAGAGAGAGAGAGAGAGAGAGAGAGAGAGAGAGAGAGAGAGAGAGAGAGAAGAAGAAAAATAAACCCTGTTGAGTCAGCAGACTCATATAAATCACATACTGCAGGGAGAAGTCAGATGACTGTCGAAGATCATGGTAGCAAATTGCCCAGTTTACTGAATTGCCATGAACTGGATGGGTCACAATGAGGGGGGGGGGGCATGGTTTCATAAGACCAGACTGGGAGAAAATTCTAAACAATGTAGCAGACACTTAAATATTGATGCATGCTCTTCTGTCAATGCACAAACACTTGTGGGGGAAAGACAAAAATAAACACCCCATGCAAATATAAACAAAACTCCCTGCAGTGACAACCATATGTCATGGAGATAAACATGAACAGATCTGATCAGAAAACATTAGCCTAGTCACAGTAACTTGGCTTTAAACGCTACAGACAAGCAAGACACCACTGGAGGGATATTACAGTGATTCCACAGGAGATAAAAACATAGCACAACGCACTGAGTCCCTGTGTGAACCCACTGTTACGCGCCACAGCCAGAACTGGAAAAACTTTGCAGGCTACGAGAACTGCTTTATCGGGCTCACACACACGCACACACACACACAACCACACTGCTTCGCACACTGCTTCTCCTGGACACAAGTAAACCACACGAGAAAACAAACGTACCTTCCAGCCCGCAGAGCTGTTGCTGTCACCTTTGTCCTTGAAATAAGGCACACTCTTCACCATCCAGTCGTAAATCTGAGACAGCGTTAGTCGGTTCTCGGGAGAACTTTCGATAGCTTTGGTTATGAGGTCTGCATATGACATATTCCCCCATGCGTTTCGCCGGGAGGAGCTGCTCTTCCTCTGGGCAGCGGCGGCAGCTGCGGCCGCGGCCGCCGAGGACGACGAGCCCACGGGGGAGGAGAGCAGAGACACCTGCTGCTGCTGCTGCTGCTGATGCGGGAGTTGCGGGTTCGGGTGCTGCTGCTGCTGCTGCTGATGTTGCTGCTGATGTTGCTGCTGCTGATGTTGCTGCTGTGGGGGTTGCTGGTGGACGCAGTTCTCCTGACACTGGAAGTCGGAGCACAGGATGACAGGCTTCTGCTCCGTGAAGTCCTCGGTCTCCTCCAGGAGGCTGAGGTTGTTGATGAACTCGTTGCCGGTGGGCTCCTGCTTCACGGACGGCACCGGCGAGGACGTGTTGGAGTCGCCCGGGTTGATGAACTCCGGCCGGGGCAAAGGCCAAGTGCACGACCGGGGCCGCGACAGGGGCTCGAAATCCGGGTCGATTTCCACCAGGTGTGGCTGCTGGGGCGCTTCCGCCATGGTCGAGAGGTGACGGAGCCAAGTGTTACAATGTCATGTAAGTGTGACGAACCTGTCGCCCCTCAAAAGTCGCAACTTCGCCTTTGAAATGTGCGAATAAGTTAAATCTGTCCGGGAATGCTGTGCTCCGCCTGGGCGCCAAGTCTACACTGAAAGTCACATCCCAAGCCGGTAAAAAAAAAATAATTCTGTGTTAACAATAACAAAAAGTATGTTTCTAAAAATCCCTTTCCTGTGAAAAACAAAAGTTGTCTGAGTGTCCACAATGTGTTGACCCGCTGCTTTGTTTTTGTTGTCCCGTAGTAGTGATGTTCCGTGTGCGCCCCGCACAGCCTGTTGACTCTCTGTGTTGTACAGCATGTGAGGACTTACTGGAAGTATCATTTGTCAGCTGACACCGCCCACATTTGATTGACACCAGAAGAGCGCCAATGAATGGCATAGAAAGTGTTGGATGAAAAAAAAGCGTCCTTGTTTTCATTCTTTCGTCTAGTAAACATATAATCTGGGCACCAAAAAAGAAAAAAAATCCGTCTATGTCAACCGTGTTTCTCTCTCTATCACCCCACCGGTATTTGACTTCAGACAAGGATTGTACACGTTTAATCCACAGAGTAGTGATCATATCCATTAGACCTACTTTTCCCTATATTACTGCGTTTGGATCAAAATGTTTAAAAAACCTACAATCAAATACCAAATCTCAAAATTAGGGGTACTGCATATATAAGACATGTACAAATATATACTGATTATACCAATACCAACTCTGTATAGCCTAATAAAAACACAGACATGTTGTTAGAAAAGATATAAGAATATTTTGCAACCAAACAGTTTCCGTCTTCATCTGTCAGTGTACTGCTCCTCGGTGGTTTGTTGGATCAGAAGCTGTTTGGGTGTCCTCAGCCCACTATGGACTTTATCGACATCTTGTGGCAATTGTGAAATATAACAACCAGACACAGCCATCTAATCTCTTCCGCATTTCTATTTGTATTAGGTCAGCGTGACAAAGACTGACAACTCACCAACAGACACGTTTTATTTTTTTTAATCACCTGAGCGCTTTTTTTCTCCATTTATTCAGCTATCAAATAAAATGTTAAGATATAAAATAAGCTTATTTTTTAATCGATTTAACACTTATGAGCATAATTATTACACATTAATTTTGGTGTTAAATAAATAGTTTCCTGTATTGTTGTGGCTTCCGCTGAATAGCTTGACGCAACACATTGTGCGCGTGTGCGTTCCTTTACGCACGGCAGGAGCGACTTGTTGCAATCCGTCATTGGATTTCACAAGACGTTGCGAAGAATGCGGAAATTTAGTATGAATTTAAACTCGGCAAAATTTCATTGACATGTTCCATGGTAGGGTCCCCGCGAGCCTGGTCTAGATTATTTTGGTGCAACGCGCACACTTGCCTGTAGTGCATTATACCTTTTTCAGAGTTTGTGAGGGAGACAAACAAACATTAAGAGACCAGGGAGTGTAGAGGTGAGCATGAATGCGTCCGGATCTGCTTTACAGAAATATATGTTACCCTCCCTTGTGTCTCTTAAATAAGTATAGGCTATATTGTGACCTTATTGTTCTTTTTGTAGTTTAATATTGTAGTCGATCAGTGCAAAGTGTACAAGTACTTTGAGTGTTTGTAATGTGTTTGTGTGTGAAGAGATGATGACATGGTACTTAAATAGCTTCAATTTTCAGGTTCACAGAATTTATATGAATCATCATGCCTCCACATCCCATAATCCAGGCAGTCATCGACTTCTTAGCTGGAGCAATGGGTGAGTTAACAGTATGGATCTATTCAGATTACTGATCTATTATCTCGGTCTGTCTCTCTATTCTGTCTGTGAGTTTGTCTGACTGACTGACAAGCTAAACACGTTTTATACATTCTTTTTGTAAAAGAGTTTTTCAAAGAAAGACTGCAGTGTTCCGTCTCTGAATTAATTTTCATACATAATTATTATTAGAGTAGTACTGAGGATCTTTCTTGATAAATTGATTAATGATGACAAATATCTTTATCTTGTCTTGATGTTTTTCTGAAGTCAAAATCAGACCCACTCTGTGTACTACGGTATATGTGTATTTAGTCAGAGAAACATGACCATAATAAGTGTTAAAACTGTTCCCTGGACTCTGCTTTGGACGCTTTTGCTCTGACATCAGTTGCATCTCTCTTATTGAATCTGAAATAGATGCCTCTTAAAATCCTTCCTCAGGTGGTACAGCTTGTGTGCTGAGCGGTCAGCCGTTTGACACCACAAAGGTTAAGATGCAGACATTCCCCACCATGTACCGCGGCTTCATCCACTGCTTCACATCGACCTACAGGCAGGTGGGACTAAGTGGTCTCTACAAAGGAGCGACCCCAGCTCTCATAGCCAACATCAGTGAGAACGCTGTGCTCTTCTTGAGTTATGGTCTCTGCCAGGATGCTATCCGCTTTGTGTCCAGGATGGATAAAGGGGCTGATCTCAGGTTTGACACTGACGTTTCCATGTATTTATTCAAGTATCTATGATAAGCTCCATAGCTGGACAAATTAGTGTAATAGTATGTAAAAAAAAAAACATAAAAAATGTCATATGTTATAAAAAGGGATAAAACATGTCATAAAAAATGTAATTGTATAGTATGTAAAAAAGTAAATAAAAACGTCATCGTGTATTATGTCATAAAAACGTCATAGTATAGTATACCATAACAAAGTCATAAAAAATGACCAAGTATAAAAAAGTCATAGTACAGCATGTGAAACAAACATAAAAGGTCATAGTATTGCATGTTATAAAAAGTCATAAGAAATGTCATCATATAGTATGTCACAAAAAGTGATTAAAATATAATAAGATACTATGCCATAAAACATGTCATAGTGTAGTATTTCATGAAAACTGATAACATGTTATAGTATAGTGTGCCACAACAAATATCACAAAAAAATATTAAAATGTCCATGTCCATGTCATAACAAATTTCTTAGAAAATGTTAGAGTAAAGTGTGCCATTAAACACGGCTTTAAAAATCATACAGATATCATAGTATTGTATGTCGTAAAAAGTAATTAAATGTCACAGTATAGTCTGCCATTAAAAATGTAATTAAAATGATGAGTACAAATGTCATAGTGAAGTATGTCATAAAAACTTTCATAAACTAATGTAGTCGTATAGTATGCCATAACAATTGCCATTCGAAAAAATCCTAAAAATAGGATAGTATGGTTCACCTAAAGAAATGTGATAATAATTGTCAAAGTATACTATTTCATAAAAAATATCAGAGTTCAGTCATACAAATAAAAGCGCTGTAAAAAGTCCTAAGAAATGTCATAGGAAGGTATGTCATACAAACTAATGAAAATGTTATTGTATAGAATGTCATAAAATAATGTCATAACAAATAATATAAAAAATAATTATATAGCATCATACAAAGTAATTAAAATGTTGTAATATTTAATAGTATAGTAAGTCTTGAAATGTTATAAAAATGTCATAGTATAGTCCGTCAGAAAATGTAATAAAAGAGTCCCAATCTCTTGTAGATAGTATTTCTTAATAAGTCGGAACTATTTTAAATTATTATATGCCATAAAAAACTAATTAGTACCGTAGTTAATAAAAAAATCATAAAAAATGTCAGTATAGTATGCCGTGAAAATGTCATAGTATAATATGTCAGAAACGTCTCAGAAAAATGTCATTGTATAGTATGACACGAAAATGTCCTAGAAAGTCAGAATATTGTTATAGTAAAGTATTTTATAGAAAATGAGTAGTGTAGTTTACCATAAAACATGTTATACTATTATACTATATTTTACTAGTCATAAAAAACATAAAAAGGTCGTAGTATAATATGTCTAAAATATGTTCCTTAAAAATATAATAAAGTATGCCATCTGTGTGTCAGCTGACTTCAGCAGATGACCTCCTATTAATTTAAGAATGGAAATGTCCTGAGTAATCCTAAACACTGAGGTAGGCAGTCTTCCTGTACGCGCACTAAATACATTTAATTGTTTATTTCTTCGATTGTACTTCTTTTCATTGCTCATCAGTGATATCCAGAAGGCATCGGCGGGGTCTTTAGCCTCCATCTTCTCCTCCATGGCGATATGTCCAACCGAGCTGGTGAAATGTCGCATGCAGGCCATGCACGAAATGGAAGCATCTGGCAAGATCGCAAGTGGACAGAGAAGGTCAGTGTGACCAAAAAGAAAAACACTGGAATGAGCAGAACATCTACTAAGTCTACACATTTTTGACTGTGTTTTGTGATGTGACTTCAGCACAGTGTGGACCGTCGTGAAGACAGTGTTGAAGACAAACGGCCCCCTGGGTTTCTACCAAGGACTGACATCCACCATGGTCAGGGAGATACCAGGATACTTCTGCTTTTTTGGGGCCTATGAACTGTGTCGGTCTAAATTTGCGCAGTACATGGGCACAGACAAGGACAGTATAGGTATGGTTATTATTTTTAATGAGGTGTTTTTTGCAGTTTAGGATGTTGCACTTGTTTCTGTGATTCACTCCCACACAATATTTTTTGGTTTTTGCAGGTGTTCTTCCGCTCATGTTCAGCGGTGGATTTGGGGGAGCTTGTCTGTGGTTGATGGTCTATCCCATAGACTGTGTGAAGTCCAGGATCCAGGTGTACTCTTTGGCTGGGAGGCAAGAGGGCTTCATGAAGACCTTCAAGGGTATCGTACGTAATGAGGGTAAGATTTGAACATACATTTTAAAATGAATATTCACCCAGAGAGTGTATGGCTCTCAACAGCACAGTTTACCTAAAAAAAGGATAAATATTGCCTGTTGTTGTCTTCTCAAATGCCTCTAAAATGTTTCATTCCTGACCTTATTTGTGACAACATGGGAGCACAACTGACAGGGTTACATCACACAACCATATAATCATAGTTTAAAGAACAGCAACTGTATAATTTGGCTTTTTGTGAAAAACCCTGGTTCAGTAGAGAACGGTGCTGACTCAAACACACACTTACTCTATTGACTTCACTCTCTCACGTTGTTCAAAACCAGTTTAGACCTTCAAATCAGTACAAAATCTTCATAGACACACTTCTCACCTTAAGTTAATTCTGAAGAGAGGAATGCTCCAACAATATTTGTTTTGGTTTTGTATGTTTTCTACCATTCACTTATACATCTGCAAAAAAAACAAACATGTCGTGTTTAAATACAGTGAGACATTGTGGTATTGCAGCCACTGTTATCCAGTATTCACCTTCCAGTCTATGGTGGCAGAATAAACCCCTGTAGGCAGTTGTTTGATGAGAGGGACAGGCATCAGGAAGGACGACTGTATTTGTTTGTAGTTATACTGTCTCATGGTGCCAGTCGATGTGCATAATAAGACACAATTATTCAGTATTATTCAAATTAGCCAAATAAGCCCTGAAGGAGATATGGTTATTTGATCAGCAAAAAGTAAGATTGACACAGATCTGACTTATTAATGTTGACAACAATGAAAACACCAGTGTAGTCAATTAGTAATATATGAATATAATTATGTACAGTGTAAAGGATGCTCAGCATAACTTCAGCAGAGCATACTGAGATAGAGATTTGATGGTGCTAAGCACGAAACAAGATGCAAAAACAACAACGATAAAGACCAGTAAAGCATTGTTCTTGTATGCTGTGGTGCTCAAATCATGGTGATGGTGCTAATGGGCCTATGGCGTGCCGACAAAACATCTCAACAGAGCAGCCACTGAAGGGATATTTCTATTCCACGGCTCTCTGTGAACTACAGAGAGAGACACCGTAGTGTGTGAAAAAGATACAGTGTGAACTGTTCTGCGATTTTAATTGAATACAACTGTACATCTCATCTCTGTCTGCATGCTGAATGAGTCATAGCCAGATGTCCCACCATCTGCAACATCTGTTGGCACGATGGGGAAGTGTACGGAATAACTTGGCCTTAAGAGTGTATGGAACAGGTCTAATACTGTAGAATTGCTTCTTATAAGTATGTTATTAACCATTAACATTCGATGATAATTCAAAAATTGCCAAAGCTTGACACTGTAAATGTTTGTTGACATGTCACAAATGAAGCTACCCTTAACAATCACAATGATTGAGCCTGGGAGGACACTACAATCAAATGTCAGAATTTGAATGTGAACTTGTGTACCGCAAACTTAAACAGAGGCCCTGAGTGTTTTAACGGTGGAGCTGAAGTTTTTTGACTTTGAAAGGCTCTGAACGCACCACTGCTGGTCTCAGTGTGAAGCAGAGTGTGGATGAATCATGTTGCTAATTGGCCCAAGCTGGGGGCCTGACCTACCCATGGGGAATGACCTGTGTATCTGCTTGACTCTCTCTTGTCCTACAGGGATCACTGCTCTGTACTCGGGCCTGACTCCTACCATGATACGCACCTTCCCTGCCAACGGAGCCCTCTTCCTGGCCTATGAGATGAGTCGCAAGTTTATGATGGAGACAGCTGGCAACTGTGGAGCGTCTTGACACTTGAAGAAAGTTTGATTAGCTGTGACACATGGTTCTCTGCTGTGCTGGCCACAGTGATTTGAAATAAAGTGTTAATCTCAACATCCGTATGTCAAGGGGTGACACTCACCTGTGAATATACTTCATCATGGTCGAAAGATGCCTTCGTTTTACCTCGTCACTCATTTTTCAGTGAGTTTTGCCAGTCAAATCATAACAAGAACTCAGAGAGCGGAATATAAACGGACAGCTCAACCTGCCCTCTCGGCAGTTTTAAGCAGTTCAGCTCATCTCCTCAGCTGCACTAACAATGATATTTAAGAAGATTTCTTTTGACCCTCCTGAATGCTCACCATTTTCAACCTGTGGTAAAGTTGCAGAAACTTTCAATTCACTATCATAAAAAAACCTCTTGAAAATTGGACGGTTAAAGTAAAGCTGCAAAAATCTAATTATAAAAGCATGTGCAGTGCAAATGGTTATGTTGAGACTGAAAACCTCTCTTTTTTGTTTCGTTTTGTTTCGTTTTGTGTTTGCTGAAGCACATTCTTAGCTGCCTGCCTCACCACAAGTCCTGTTCACACTCAACTGCTGTGTCCACTTGCAGCAGAAAAGACAATGTTTTGATGCACAGGAGTTAAAATCACTTGAAAACCATATTCTGTTAAAAGAAAGTGTATTTTTTGCTGATTGTAAATTATATCATAATAGTAGTTTTTTTAGTTTGAAGCTTGAAATTTCAAGTAATAAATAATCTTGGACAAGGGTGCGGAAACACTTAATAAGAGGAAGTTAATTCTTTGATTTTGAGAAAATGTCAGCTGCTCGGAATTATGAGCAGTCTTGCATGGTGGAATAAACAGTTTTAGACTAAGTACACACGCATCATTTTCTTTTTTACAATTTACAACAAGCCCTGAAACTAACAAAATGAAATTTACAAAAGGGCTAAAATAGCCTGTTGTGTGCAGTGTTGTGAACAACTGCACCGGGATTCACATGCACTCATGTAGTGAGCTGGCATGTCATGTGACCAAGTATCATGTGACAGTGAATTAAAGGGACCTCAGTGAATAATGATGGAAACCAGCAGCTCACATGTCGGTTGTTAGGGCTCCAAAGCTCACACAATTGTTGTCATGTTTTCAAACAGGTACGTGTGTTGTTGGGCAAAGTGTCTCATAACAGAACAGATCTATTGAACACTGAAAGCCAAACTGGCTACGATTGTAGATCATAATGATGTTATGCTCGCTGTAATTAATCACACAGCATTTTGAGAGTCATCATGTGCTTTAATTTGTTTGCACACTTACTTGGGTTTATTTGATCTCACATGCATGTAGTAGTGCAGAGATGTGGAAACCATCATCTCCTCTTTTAGTGGATTTGTTGGTCAACTCCCAAACCACCAACATAAAAGCTCATTTGTGTTGCATTTCTTTCCTAAACACTGATCAGTTCAGTGGTTTAGTGAAGGTTTATGTGTGTTCCAATAACCATACCTCCATTCTATTAATATGCCAGACAAATATCTAGTATGTCCTAATACATAGTATATCAAATACAGTTTGCCACAAATACCAGGATGTACTGCGTCGGGTCGCATTTTGCAGCACGCAAACAACTGGTGATGTCTGAGATGCCATATTTAATTCTGAGGAGAAAACACTGACTGGACAGATTGTTTTGTATCTCCTGTGGGTCTGACTTCAAAGGAGTCAGATCCAAATATCTCAATCCAGCTTCAAGTCTTTGACCCAACCGCTGCTTCAGCAATAGATTCCAATTCCACGTATTGATCATCTCTCCATTGTTTGCAGTTTTGTCTTTGTCATTGCCTCAACAGCATTTAGATATTGACAACTTTGCTTTGATTCACTTGTGTTTCTGATGGCACAACAGTGTTCCTTTGACTTTCCTTTGCTCTTCCTCCTGAATTTATGATGAGCCGTGACAAATTACCTTACAAGGGATTACGTAGTTAAGATAATTGATTGATGAGTTGATATATATATATATATATATATATATATATATATATATATATATATATAGATATATATATATCTATATATATATAATCCTTCTGAGCAGGGATTATAGGCAGGGGAGCAGCAAGGTGGGGGGGGGTAATAGAAGGTCCTCTGTAGATCAGACCATCTCATTTCGGACACCGCTCGCGGTCCTCAAAGGACGCGGCCGACGTGGACCGCGAAGGCGGGGTCCTGCGAGGGATGCAGCCGCTGGGTTGGGACACACATACTGTGTACTGTGCATCTTCTCATCACAGACAGGACTTGGTTTTTACTGTGTAGCCGGGCTCTTTTACATCCTGTAATTATGTATTTACATTACTCTCAGTTGCTCAACACTACACTGTTATTAAAATGAATTAAATATAATGAATCATATTTTCTCTTATGTGTTTACGTCCACATTCCTCCATCTCCCTCCTCTCACACTTTATTCAGCCTTTCTCCTGTTTCGAAAACATTTGAATACATTTTGGATTGTTTTTATTTCCAATGTGGGTCAATTTCCATTATAAGGTGATGTGCACATGATCACATCTCCTTTGTGTCTGCACCAGCTCTCATGTTTCCCGACTTGCCACCTATTGTTTATTCATAACGCTTCGTGCAACAGGTGTCAGACTACTGTGGGTGAATGTGAGAGTATAATGGAAAAGTACAAGAGCTGAATTGTAAGGTATCCAACACAGGAGCCACATAGTGGCTGGTTAGGCTCTGAGGTTCATGTTGCCTGTTGGTACCCACTAGGTGAGTCCAAGAGTCACACACCAAGTGGGAGTGGAAGTTAATGTCTGTATGTCAGGCGCCGAGGGAAGGGGACAGGCCACACCCCGTAGGGAGAAAAGACAGGTAAACAAGTGCAGCACTGCTTCACTTGCTCCATCACACCAACACATTACATGTTCATTAATGATCTCAACCACGTCCAGCACGGCCGAGATGGTTACACAGGGTAAACTTCAGATCAACACCGAGGAGAGCATCGAAGGTAACTTTTCATGATCTTTTAAAAAATCTGGCACTTTGACTGTTGGCGGATGACAGGGAAGCAGAACGAGAGGGAAAAGTCTGAACTATTCAGGGTGAACATGCCAGGGATAATAGATATTGTTTGAGGGCCCCTGTTTCTAACGCACACAGAAACTCTCAGAGTGCCGGAGTCCTTGTTAATTGTTTACAAGGAATTTAGGTTTTTGCTTACAATGTTTGAAATTATTTGTAGTATATCTGAGGGCTTTAAGTGCCAGCCAATCATTGGTCTGATAAGGTCCAGAGGTCCAGACCAACGATATACGTAAGGTGGCAGATCTTCAAAAATGGCTTTATAAAAAAAGAGATGTCAGTGCATTAGATCACAGTGTAAGCATTCAAATGATGGTACATCAATAATGTAGTAGTTTACTTTACACAACACCCTGTGAGTCAGGTGGATGTGGAGTAACGTGACTTCCCTCAGAGATTAATTACACCATTAGCGACAAATTAGAAGTGTGGATCCACTTCACCTCACTGCTCGCTTGCGTTTTGTGTCATCTTTGATAAAAGACGCTGTCCCACTGGATCATTTTACTGTTTAATTGAGTGAACAAAATGACCACAGCAATCTTTGGTCACAGGTGCTCACAAGTGAGGGACATGCCATGGGCAATATGCAAAATAGGTCACCTCTCTGTACTTTCCAATGCAAGCCTTTAAAAGTGTTTTTCATTCTCTACAGATAAACACTCAGGGAGACTGGGATGTTTCGGTTGGCTGTTGGTCCTCATATCCCTCCTCTTTATAATAGCGACCTTCCCGATCACATTATTTATGTGTGTTAAGGTAAAGTATATTCTCATAGAAGTACACTGATTATAGGATCAGGCCAGTGCTTGTCTGTAAAGGCCGATACGGATACCAGTGTCTTCGTGTTGGACTGGCGAGGGCTTCAGGCAGTATTTACTGCTTTGGAATTAGACCGTTTCCATTATCATTTTCTAAATTCCAACAAAGTCTAACCAATTTCCTTCAAGATTTTTTGGCAGGTCAGAAAAGACTAACTAATTCCATCAGTCTAGCTTTCAATAAATTGGAGCAAAGCATATTTGGGATGCAGAAATGTAATTCCTTTGTTCATAAAGGGGGCTTCACATGGCAGGTGACACACAGAACCGAGATCATTTAGTCGCCTTCTCTCTGCCATTCTGCAAAACTACGTAATGTATTCTGTGACCGGGTCTCTGTGTTTACAAGTTAACATCTTTACATCCAATATAAAGAGACTTTTTTTGTGATTTCAGAATCATTCAAAGTACCCCGATGGCAAGTTTGTGTTTGTAAAAAAATGAGTCTCCACAGTAGGAGCAGTGCATGCATCGGTTCCAGGTTATACAACGGCCAATCAAAAGAATGAAATGTGAAGATGTTATAACATACACAGTGACTGTGGTCTTATATAAGAGGTATAGATGAAAGTGAGTTTAATCTAAGTCTAAGGTTAATTTATTTTTCTATTTCCTATGTTCTCTGTGTGGCTGGCCATGTTTCTAACATCCAGATAGTGAAGGAGTACGAGCGAGCCATCATTTTCAGACTTGGCAGGATCACAGACAGGAAACCTAAAGGGCCAGGTTTGTTGATTGATTGCTTTAGTGACTTTATATAACATTTTAACAGCATACTATTCGATTACTTTTTTACGACATTATGTACTATGACATACTTCATGACCTTGACACTTTTTATGGGATGCTGTTCTATGATTTATTTTATTTACGGAATTCTATACAATGATTTTATTTGACATATTTATGGCATACTTGTCATGTCTCGTCCAGCTACTTGGGTTATGTGTGTCTTTTAACCCAGCATCCCATCATTTCCTGTTTTATTTTGTGTTATTCACCTCCCCTCTCGTTTTAGATACTTCCCTGCCTGCCCTTGTGTTTTTCCCGCCTGTGTGATTGTTTTGCAAGCCCCGTGGTTTCACCTGTCTTTTTCCAACATACTATACTGTGACCTTTTTTTCGATATTCTATAGCTATACTATGACTTTTCATGACCTTTTTCTTTTCAGATATTTTTTACATACTACACTATGACTTTTTCTGACATAGTATACCATGAGCTTTTTACGACGTTTTTCCAGATTAGTATGGTATGATTTTCCTTGAAATAATATACTATGAGGTTTAATGACCTTTTTGATGATATTTGTTATGGATTTTGTCTTCGTACAATACTATACATTTTTACTTTTTTTAAACTTACTATACCATGACATGAGTCTTTTAAAAAAAATAAAATATATTCTATGACTATTATAACATTTAATACTTACTATATTAGGATTTTTTATGACAGCTTCACATACCATATTGAGACTTTTTTAAGGTCTTCTTTTGACAAACATTTATTTTTTACCATACTATACTATGACCTTTTTATGACTTTTTCGACATACTGTTTTATGACATTTTATTTGACTTTTTTTATGGCATACTCTACTATGATATTTGATGACATTTTGGCATACCATTGTGCATTATACTGTGAGAAAAAAAATGTCCATAAAGGGGTTTTCTGCCATTAAATGTCTATCACTTAAAAGGCTTCAACCACAATCACTAGAAACTAAACAGGGACTTTATTTATTTTCAGGACTTTTCTTTGTTCTGCCCTGTACTGATACCTTTGTGAAAGTCGATCTGAGAACTGTGTCCTTTGACATCCCTCCACAAGAGGTACGATTTTTGTTGTTGTATTTTTTTTTGCATTTGTTCTGGAAAATGTGTAAATATCATTTTTGTCTCTCCTTTATCACAGCTCGTCTCTGTCATCAATGAAAACTGTCTGTCATCTTCCTGAGTGATAAAAATAGGTGCTGATTTTTACCTTGCAGATCCTAACGAGAGACTCAGTGACGGTGTCTGTGGACGGCGTGGTGTACTTCCGCATAAACTGCCCCATCTCATCCGTGGCCAATGTGTCCGACGCACACTCATCTACACGGCTGCTGGCTCAAACCACCCTGAGGAATGTACTTGGTACCAAAAACCTTGCAGAACTGCTATCTGACAGAGAGGGCATATCACTCAGCATGCAGGTGAGCATAAACTGTGTGGTAATATGATTAATGAGGATCTGCAGGGCACAAGAGAAGTATGAAAGTTAAATATCTTTAATTGGTCCTTTTTTCATCTGCCGTCTTGAACTCTGTCTGTTGTTTGGTACTGTGTGTTTTTCAGAACCTTGCATAAAACTGCTTTCTGCTTCTGCTAAAATGGTAATGATCGCGCTGAGATTGAACCAGCGAACTAATTTATCACAAAACCCCAAAAATGTGTTTATAAAGGCTACAAAGCACCATGCAGCTGAGGAGTTGGGTAGCATGTATTATAGTTATTTGATTAAATCATAACTGATTAGTGGAGCTAACGGTGGTTCTATGTGACTGGAGTATATGTTATTTGATATTCCCGTGCAGGAATCTCTGGATGATGCCACAGATCCGTGGGGTATTAAGGTGGAGCGTGTGGAGATCAAGGATGTGAAGTTGCCTCAGCAGCTGCAAAGAGCCATGGCAGCAGAGGCAGAAGCTACTCGGGAGGCCAGAGCGAAGGTAAAGAGGACGTTGGGAAATTTAATTTAATTTCCTCTTAACGCAGAGAAATAACGATTATCTGTCTGTGCTTCAGCTCATTTCTGCAGAGGGAGAGATGAACGCTTCCAGGGCTCTGAAAGAAGCCTCCCTGATAATTGCAGAGTCACCCTCTGGTCTCCAGCTGCGATACCTGCAGACCCTCAGCAGCATTGCAGGAGAGAAGAACTCCACCATCATCTTTCCCCTGCCCATAGATATATTGCAGCATTTTATGAAGAGGGATTAATTATGTTATTGTTATAAAGTTATTGTTACTGTTATAAGCTTTCGTGGTATCTCTTTTAAATGTGGTCCAAGAGGCCTCGAGTGTGCAATTATTTTCTTATTGTGATTTAATACTTAAGTACAAAGTGCAACATATACAGTTTAGACATTAAACTTTATAACCATTAAATATTTTTACCAGCTAAGCTACAGTTTCGGTTCTGGAGAAGGACAAATAAATAAATATATCGATGAAATACACAAGAAAAGTAAAACAAAGAACAGTGCACGACAACCTTATAAAGACATGCTTTGATAAAACCATATCCAGAGAATAACTTCTGAAATGCAATCTTTACCGAACAGAACAGAAGTCCTGTAAACGGTCAACAGAAGAACTGACATCCACGTGAACCACCAACCGTCTTTGACATTGGATGTAAACTGTAAACAGATCTCTTATTTTAGTGTCAAACAAACATTCAGTAGATGAGTACAGGGTCATGTCCACAGGACACAAAGGCAATCAGTGCAACCGGAGTACCTGATGGAGAGAAATATCATTTCTACCCACAGTAAAGCCCACCAAGCCAAACATATTCAACTTAATGTCCCAACAGTAAATGCAACTCAACTACAACCAAATCTTTGTTTGAGCATATTTACACATTTTATGTTTTTGGGGGAGCTGATAATTACATCATATTATAATGAGGCAACATTTCTTCAGTGTATTTGTATATACAGTATTTGCTGACTGCACTATGCTCTACATATTCTGTACATCCAAATCATGTTATACAAAGGATATATTGCAAAACAGACATGAGCTGAGTGGTAATGTAAACATGAACAAAAGCTTCAATAAAAAAAAGATGGCAGTTACTTTCCCTTTGTTGACTCATAATTCCCCTTGAGACCTGAGATTATTCTCTACAATGAGACATGAGGTAACAGCTTTCAAATTTTCAGGATTTTCTTGCTTCAATCATTTTTAATTCTCTAACAAATTTTGGATCAATGCTTTCAACAGGAATTTTTTGCCAAAAGTCATTCGGTGGTTCAAATGGAGAATGACGGTTCGGAATAATAGATTCTTCCATCACATTTGCTCACGAGAGTTTCTGTGGTGAATTTCAAAAACACTTAAAGGTAAGGTACACTTAAAGAAAGAGCAAATGCAACACGATGACCAAATGTTGGATTTACATGTGTACAGGTCAATACATTTAGACTGCAGATTCTGGCAGATTCTGCATTGCTTAAATCCAGAAATATGACCGTGTTCTACAGATCCCGCACAAAACTATTTTATTTTCTTAACCTGACTGAAGGTGAGAGGGCACCATCTCACATAAAAAACCTGGGAGATTAGTCAGCAATGTTTATTACTATTATATAATAATTACATTTTTCTTGGTATCGTTTGAATAAATCCTGGTCGGTTCTGTTAGGAATAGGAGGTAACTTGTGTGGCCTCCTTACCCTTCTGCTCCACATTGTCACACTGTAGGTAATCTTAAAACTAAATTCATTACTGGAAGACAGAACATGCTTTAAAGAGAGCAATACATGTACAGTTTTTTACAAAATTGTCAATACTATAGTTATGCTGTGTTGGCAGTTCGATGGATTTATGAATTATGTTGTCGTAATTTCATGTCAACACTGATATCTAGTTGTTTCAGGAGAACGTCGGATGGATGATTGAGGTTATGTGGCTAGTCATTCATACACTCCTGATATAGGAAATGCTTCAGCATGAAAAGGTTAACGTTCCCCAGAGAAGAATCCACACTTTGAGAGTAACTTGCTGTAGTTAGTTTTATGATTTTACTCAAGCTATTGCCTCTGCCTTGACAGACGTTGCTGGTGAGAGAGAATGGGTGGCAAAGGCGCTTCTTGTGTTCGTTGTTGCACTTTTGATGTTTGCTATGTCTCTCATCCTGAGCGCTGCATGAGAAAGTGGTGTAGAATGTGAGGCGAAAAAATTGAAATGAGGCACCGTGACTCCGATCCTGCTCTCTGAAGTCTACAATGAGCAGGTCTTCCATCCACTGCAGTAGTGCAGCACGTCTGTTTTGTGGGGAGTTCCGGTGCAATAGAGAAAACAAAGGGCAGAGAATTACCTTCTGAACAATATGAGGCGTGATCATTAATACAATTCTTCAGGTCAGAGGGGTTGGCTTTGGAAATGCACGGTATTGGTGGTACTCGACGTTTGCCAAGAAATGTGTCTGTTCATCTACACGGCGTAAAATCCTAGTAATATTCAGCAAAGAGTTTAAAAAAAATCAGGGCTTCAGATGCCAGATAAAAAGGAAGCGTTTGATACAAGAACTTCCATTGAGAGTGTCATTGATGGTAGGAGTGTGGGCGGGCTGGAGAGCCTGGTCCGGAGGGGGGCCGATGGAGGGGGGAGGAGCTGGGGGACATACGAGGACTCAGCTCGCCTGTCTGAAGACGCCACAGCAGTTCCTCGTTATTGCGACTCAGCCGCTTCTTCTCCTTGCTCTCCTTCTCCACGTTCACGTGCAGGTTGGCATTATCTTCGGAGAGTTGCCTGAGAATGAAGAGGAAAAGGGAAAAGTCAAAACATAAATGCAATGTACTAGCGTTGCAGTGCCCTTGCTTTAATAAAACAGTTTTTGCCGTATTTTTGCTGTATTTGCTTAAAATCTCTCTATGTGCATAGAAAATGTAAAGCCTTATTCATCTATAAATTACACTGTACTGTACTATACTATATACGTATATGTATTATAATTTCTTATGTTATATTTAACCCACTTACTTAATAATAATAATAATTTTGACAGTGTGGCTGCTACTGCCCGAAGACGTTGTAATATATATATATATATATACACGTCAACATTACCAGTAGTATCATTGAGGTTCAATTGAGATATCGCTTTTCTCATTTCTGGATTTTAGATTCATACTCTTGGATTGAATCTTGTATTTGTGACGGACAGTCTTGAACTTGAGAGCAGCTATTGCTTCGTAGAAACACATAGCTGACAGCGTGTGTGTGTGTGTGTGCGTCACTGTTTACCATGGTGATTGGGGAAAATGATATACGTTTGGAAATGAAATTAATTTCTGTATTTGAGATATATACCTTTGGGGGGCCTGGTTAAGGAGGGCTTTGTGAGTGAGGAGAAGAACTATGAACTGGATCCGTTGTGGGACAGGGACAGTGGAGGTTCTGGAGGACAGGGGTGATGTGATCGCGGGGGTAGGAGTGGCAGACGAGCAGCAGAGTTCTGAATGTACTGGAGTTTATTTAGGACTTTGGATAATGTGCCGTAAAAAACACTGTTGCAGTACTCAATTCTGGATGTGGTGAAGGCATGGATCAAAGTTTGGGCAGCAGGGAAGGAGAGAGCTATGCTTTTAAGTTGAAACAAAGCAATCCTGGTGATGTGATTGATGTGGTGTTGGAAGGAGAGGTTGCGGTCGAAAAAAGACTCAGAGGTTGCGGATGTGTGGTGAGAAAACGGACATTCACTTCTACTTTGTCAGAAGGGGAGAACGATTAAAAAAAAAAAATCTGATTGTTGTTTTTTGACTGGTATTGCAATTGAGACATGATTCACGGTATTGGAGGGAATGATAATATTGTATAATTATTCAAATTTTTCTTGAAAAATATATGATGTATATATCAAATATATAAAAATACATCATGGTGTGAATTTTTGTGCCAGACAAAGATTTCTTTCTTAAGTCGGTAGAATACAATTTGTAGGCTGGGACGTCTCTGCAGCACCACAGTACTGAATCAGAATGGTGTTTTGACCCATATCTAGCCTCTAAAAAAATATTCTGCCTCTTGGGATTTGGATATTGCACTAGTCCATATTGAAATCTTGCTAATATTCAGATTAATTATGCAGCCCTGGTTTGAACTTGGTTTTAAATTTGTACTAGTATGCATTCAAACATATCTGACCTGGACACAGCAACGTTCTTGTCTATTCTCTCCTTCAGGTCCTCGTTCTGCTGCTGTAACACTTGTACTCTCTCCTCCAGGTACACATTCTTTTCAGCCTGCTCAAAAACACAGGAGGAAAGTGCACAACATTAAATTCTTCAAATGATGTATGACATTATATCACAAGCAAAACAGGCAATATGACAATTGACATGGGTTAACAAAGGAGAAAGGTCCCTTTTTGTCATTCGGGGCTGTCATTAGCTGACACTAATTGTTTGGTGTTTTTGGAATTTTAAAGTAAATTAAAGAAAAGCAGAAATTTGAAGCCTACTATTTTCTCCAGTTCTGAGATCTTCAGGTCCTGTTGGTGAATTTGTTGATTCTTCATCTCCAGAACTTCTTTCAGACTTTTCAGGTCCTCGTCAATGTGTTTGTATGGTGCCAAAGCATCCTGGCAAGAACAGATAACAATAGTGTATCACGAGTATCACCAAAAAACAACACCAACAAGTTCTATCAAGCTGTCACCAAAGCACTCAACACAATGGTCCTGTACTGTATCGTGCAGCAGTTACCAGAATTTGCTCATCTGTGCTCTTGCGCAGAGCTTCTTCAAAGCGCTTGGCTCGATCTCTGAGGCTACGATTCTGAAACGTCATCGTGTCCACTTGATCCTGGGGACCAGACAGATATCAACTTGTTAGTAACCGTCTCTGATAACAAAATGCATCATTCCATGAATCTGTTAAAAAAAACAAAAAAACATGCATTTTCAAGGACAAGGATTTACCTGCAGTGTAAGTCTGATCTTTTCAAACTCTTCTCCCAGAGACTTGGTCTGCTGCTCATGGGCCATCTTCAGATCTGACACGAGACATAACACATCATTATCTCATCAGCAGAGTGAGCCAGTACAGGAGAGCAACAGGTTTGAAACATGGTGCTCACTCTTCACGGTCCTGGCGTGCTCCTCCTGCAGAGTGGCCAGTGTGTCATCGTGAGTTGTCTCCATCTCCATCAAGGAAGCCTCATGGTTCTCACTCATCGCCTCAATCTGGAGAAGGTAAGTGAGAAGTTATCTTCTTTTTTTCTCTTGTAATTTAAGTGAACAGACCCTTTCAGAGACATCACATCTTCACTTGTCATATCAGATGTGGACTAAACAGACGGGCTTATAACCAGTCTTCCTCCAAACACACACACACACACCTGCTCTTGCTGCTTGACCCGAAGCTCCTCCAGCTCGGCTCGTTGTTGGGCCTGCAGGCTCTTGGCCTTGGCCACGTGCTGCGCCTTCAGCCGCTCCTCCAGCACTCCCAGCTCCCTCTGCTGTTGAGCCCGCAATCCCTGCAGCTTGGCCTCAAAACGACGCTCCAGTTCCTCCTTCTCCTGCTGCAGTTGCTCCCAGTGTGCAACACTGAAAGCTGGAACACAACATGGAGCTTTAGTTTCTTTCACAGAATCCAAATTAAGGTCACGCTCAAAAGACAAAAGCGGCAACTAAGAAGATACGGCAAAGTAAAACACTTTATTAAGTCATTGATATTGTTATCATGGCATTGTAACGTCTGGATGATTAACACTTGATAGGTTAATTCTTCTTTTTTTTAAATTTATGCCCTTTTATTTGAAAAATATTGATTAAAATAAACGGATAAAGAAATCCTGAAGGAGTCAGAGTTTGTTCTAAATTGTGTGTACGATCTGGCTAAATAAAGACTTCCGACAGCGGAGTGGATTCCTCCTTTCCTTGTGGTAGTATACTGTATAATACATGATATGCAGTAAGCAGGGAGTCCCTGTGCTGCCGTGTTTATCACGCTGTATCCCACTTACCCACTTCATCCCTGATTCTGGCGAGCTCCAGGGACAGTTCCCTCTCCTTCACAATGGCACTCTCGCTCTGAAATGCAAACACACACACAGCAGTGAACACCTCTGTGCTGTACGAACACCTTCACTGACACTTTTTATAATAATGTTATTCGGTGCATCAAGCTATAACTAATGCATACATCAGCCCTCTAAAAGAATTCTAGCTCCATAACCACAACCCATTTTGTATCTTGGCCAAACCAAACACCAGAATGCTCTATCAATCTGACATCAGTGTGTCATCTGGTTCACGCTAGAACATCAAAGTAAAGGGTCCAATGTTTAATCACAGTACTTCAAGAGTCAATTACAACATTTGAAACATACAGATGCACAGACCGTCTCTGGTAGCCACTGGGGACACGTCATGCGTGACACCCTCAGAGCACCTCTTACTCACAGAGGAAGACACACCAGACAGTTCAATGACTATCGATCACAACTCCAAACATGCAGTAAGACAGCTATATGCACACTGTGATGAATCAGAAATCACAAAGCAGTGCTTACGAGGAACAGAGAGAGAGAGAGAGAGAGAGAGTCAGAGAGCAGCGGGTTAAATATGTATGAGACGGTATACAGCATGTCTCGGCAACAATGATGTCACCCTCTAAGAGGTTTTACTTGGAGCATACAGTTATCAGGGAGGGACTGCCGTGACCTCATGAGGGATGAAGGATGCTCAGCAGCTTCTTTCTTACTCCTCAGCTCCACCTTTGCTCCTACCCATTATTTGCCCAAACGCCCCCCTCCTCTACTTAGATCTCCAGGGAGTTATGTGACATGCATTCTAATTTTCCCATCTGATATTCAGCCCTCACCAAGGCAACTTAATCTATTTTAGGTCTGCAATGATTGTTCCCATTATTGATTATTTTTGTGATTCTTTAAACAATTGTTTGGTCTGTAACATAAGAAAATAGTGAAAAATGCTCGTCATCACAATTGATATGTCCAACTAGCAGTCCACAACTCGAGGATATTCTGTTAACAATGATGTAAAACAGAGAAAATAATCAAATCCTAACATTTGAGAGTCTGGAACCAGCTAATGTTTGGCATTTTTTTGCCTTGATACATCACAAATAATTAACAGATTATTATTTTTTTAATTATCTCAATCATTTCAGCACTGTTCATTTTACCTTCTGGAAAAGAGTAAATATGTCTATCTATAGTACGGGTGCTCATTCTCGGCGAGATGCTGTAACGAGTTAATTAACTTCTCAAAGGTCTGCGTCCATGTCATCAATCCAGTTTCAGTGGGACCATAAAAACCTTCCAATGTGCAGCTGCTTTGTTGTTTGTTCTTTTTAGCCTGAAGCTATTCAGACTCCAATACACAGGAAGCTGCAACTACGGCATGGATTTTATAAAAAGAAATCCATGCCATTTCTTGTAGACATTCAGCAATATTGACTCTGGAAGAGACGAACACATTCTAAACGAAAGTTCTTCTACATACAATCAATAGCATGTAATCACCCAGACTTACACCAGCATACATACAGTCAGCACAAAATGTACACAGTGAAATAGAGACACAAGTGTAAGAATATAGCAAAGCAGCAATAGAGGGACAGTGCGACGGACAAGCCTGCTTTGACTCAGCATAATCGTGCACAGCTTTACACTCTCCCTACCAGCCCTGTCTTTAGGAAAGGAGTGAATTTAAAGCTCCTATAGACACACTCAGCCCCCACCATTTAAACACACATGCGCACAACCACACAAGCAGAAACGAATCTTCACAGCTGAAACAGGCTCGCTGCCTTCAGGAGATACTGTCTTTACCGTTTGGTCCAGAAAGCACAGAGGGAGGAAATGGAGCCTACAGCAGCAGTGGTCCATACTAGGCTAGCAGACAGCAGCATCCCTGAGCCGACTGGGGAGGCAGCAGTGACAGACGCGAGAGCCAGAGAGATACAGAAAGAGAGGCAAGGGGGGGGGGGAGGGAAACAGGCAAAGGAAGAAGAGGGGAGGAGAGATGGAGAGACCGAAGACTCACCTCGTTTCCTGGTTTGCGACCGACGTTTATCTCTGCAGGAACAAAGACTGCTAGCCCCAGCCCAGCCCAGCTATGCCTGCCCTCCCCTTACGCCCCCACCATCACGCCCCGAATCACATTCACATGCATGGCAGCGAGCAACACACACACACACACACACACACACATAATGTGCAGTCTTTTGCATCTTTGAGAAAAAAACAAAAGAGTGGAGTAGGAGAAGATGGGGGAGGGAGATGATCAATAAGTGGCCAATTATTTGCTCTGTAACTCAGGGAAAATAACTAGATGGAGGCATTTCAACTCATACATACTCTTCATGGAAAAGCATTTATTCTAGATGTCTCTGACTGAAACAATGATGTCCAAACTGCCCATTATAACTCAATGTATATACAATAAAGCACTTTAAATCTTGTTATGTTGATGCAAAAGAACATTGGTCTATTTGTCAATCAGTCTCACACGCATATTAAGCCTTCTAAAACATCATCAGCATATGTTGTCACTGTTTGTGGACATCTTAAAATCCAGGACAGAGCATGTACCGTATGCTATATTTCATGGTGGGAAGATCTGAATCTAGCCTCAGCCACCACAACAATATCTTGGCCAATATCGCAAAAATAGACAGGAACTTAGAGGTGAACAAAAACTTAAACTTGGCTATCAATTTCACCTGTAGTTTGCACCTGTAAATCATTGCCATTTTGTCATAATTTGTGATTGTAAATCAAACAATAAAAAAAAAAACTTCTTTAGATATATCTCAGATGCACATATTTCAGAGTCTTCCAGCAGTCAGACCTTAGTCGGTGTACTCTGCCCGAGAGACAATCACTCTCACTAAAAGCCCAGCTGGGCCCAGGCAGGCAGCTCTAATCTCATTTATCATCTCCCACTGTACAGCAGAACCCGTGGGTGGGGCTGGGAAATGGATGAATTGCAAGCAGAGGACCCGGAAAGGGAAAAGAAACAAAGCGCTTAATACAGGTTTGAGAAGCACAACACACTCAGTCACAGTGTGCAAGCAGACTGGCTGTACCTTCAGAAGCTGTGATGGCCATTCTGACACTGTTGGCAGTGATTATCTTACACAACAGGAGAATATTAATGAGACGCATCAACCGAGTTATTTGAAATAAATACCAAATGCGTTTAGATCCCATTGAATCAATCATCCAGCAGCTGTACGACAGACCCAACATGACGTACAACACAGTTTTTTATACACTTCACAAATCAATTCCTGTTGTTTAAACTACTGGAAAACCCATTGGAAATCTTCAGTATTTCCCCAAACGTCATCACAACTTTTACTGACAAATCCTATTGCTCCAGAGTTACATATTCAAAAAGCCACAACAATCACAATCGAAAGCTTTGTGAACAAAGCAATGCTGACAACAAAGATGCTGCATGTGTCATTTGTGCTCGTGAGAAGACTTCACACTTTGTAGTTCCATTCTGAAGCTCGCAAGGGCTTTTCCTTTGTAGATGTTTAACAGCAGGCCTGTGTGTATTAGCCTGGAACAAGGCTGAAAAATGCATTGATCACAAGATGAACCATGATGCAAGCTTTTTATTTCGGTAAAATTTGCAATATCCATTACAGTATTTTGTTTGCATGACATCTAAAAATATTCAAACATACTGCAGGTTTTGCATGCTTTTGCCTATTACTTAAAAGTATTTAAAAAAACATTGATAAAATATTATAGAAAACACTTTGCAAACCTTTTTTCATAAGCATTCTAGCTTTTATATTTATTTCCCAACTTTAGTGAAACACTCTTCCCGTTAACTTCCTTGTGGCATAAAAACCAACGTGCAGAGATTTGAGAGATTTCTTGCTTGAGATGGGTCATCCATCCTTCATAATGAATGTCAAATTCACTTCATCGAGTTATGCTATTGTTACACAATAACGCAGCTGCAAGCAAAGGGCTGTTTTCATCCCTGCTGAACATCCAACTTTTTAATGTAATAAAAGATTTAAAAAATGCATGACATTCATAAGCTAATTGATCAGATATTACAGTCATTGCAAACTCCTGGGATTCATTTCTGATAACATTACCGTGTGAATGCAATGCTCACAAATCTTGGATGTCAGAGGTTCCTTAAACAGACCTTTAAATGAATGGGGATGTGACACCTGCGGCAGCCCTGATTCACAGTCTAATTTGGACATTAAAACCTTTTATGGGGCTCTTATAGAGGAGGCAAAACCAAGTTCGCTTGCCTGTCAACCGTACTGAGGTCCCGGCACTCCGCTGTAGCTTACCTTTTGACAGAAGTGCTGGGTAGTGATGCTGAAAACGTCCAGGCACAGGGAGGCCTTCTTTAACTGGGCCTGAAGGCTCTGCAACTGCAGGTCCTGCTGCTCACAGCGTTCCCGCAACTGCTGGATCAGAACCCGGTCCAACTCCTGGGCCCTCTCAGTCTGAACAGCTCTGTCAGCTGCTGCTGTCTGCCCACGAACTATATAGCAACAGAGGGCAGAATGATGAACAAACTAAACTGAAATATTTTCACTCATAGACTTAGACAGTGCAGATAATATGAGCAGTTAGTTTACTCTCTGAGCTCACATTAAAATGAATGGCTGATTGGTTGGAACCACAGTGGTTTATATCGTCCAACATGGACAAATGGTCTCTCTGTTACTCAAGTCTTCTCACTGCTCCGACCAATCAGCTGCAGTTTCCTCTCTCACCTCTAGACACTCGTAGTGGGGAAATATATTAGCGCGTCATGTCTGCAGTGTCGGACCTTTGATCACCTGTACTGGAACTCTACCCTGCTGATATTATGTCTGTCTGCTGTCTGAGAAAAGGACAAAATGCTGACTTGCTGTGGTAATCTGACCCCGCAGGACAGCTACTGAAGGAGCCATCCTAGCATTACAGCTCCTGCAGCTTGTTGCTATGACAACAGCAGGCTGCCATGGGTCTTGTAATAAAGTGTGGGGAGGGAGGGAGAGAGAGAGAGAGAGAGAGAGAGAGAGAGCATTTTAAAAGGTACAGCAGATGCTGATGGCACCATTGACTTCTCCCTTTGTGCAATTTCGGAACAAACAAACCAAACATACCATATCCTATATATACTGTATGTGCATTTACATCCCCCCCCCCCTCCACACACACACACACCTACACTTACACACACACACACACACGTATATGTAACACTCACCGGGGGACTGTGGCTTGGGCGAAACCACTGCAAATCTTTTAGGTGAGGACATTGGTGGCACCGCAGCCCCTATGTCCCTCTGTATCTCTCTCCTAGAGGCTGTATAGTAAAGAGACATGTTTGTATGTTTAATAATGCATACATTTGAAACACAAGAAACATACGTTTAGTTTTCTCCAATCAATAATCATGGTTTAATAGTGGTGTAGAGTTACATTTGCTGCCCTTATACCTCACTTTACTATTTCTATTGTATACTACTTTTTACTTCTAAAGCACTGCACTGCCTTTTCACAGGACAACATTATTATTTTTTACTCTTTCCCCTTAAATTTAAATGACAGTTAAGGTAACAAGTTACTTTGCTTACATACACAACATGTGAGTTTAAAAATGATGAAAATAAATATGACGCCTATATGCAAAGATCAAATGAGGTTCACCATGACCTGCTACAGCATTACAATGCTGCTTCAACATTAATGCACCAGTTATATCAATCAATTTTACATTGAAAGTGCAGCATCACTGTGCAGCATGGTCGCAATACACTTTACATTAGAACAAAGCACACACCAAGCACAAAAAATATATAAACAATGAAAGGTAAAACAACTAAAGGGATGTTAAAAGGGCAACAGACTCGACAGGGTCAGTTCAGGCTCGGCTGTAATAAATACAGAGGGACAAAACAAGCAAAATAAATAATACACCAGATAAAAATAACTACATTAAAACCATCAATGTTAGACCCGACTAAGTACTAGGCTAGGCTGTACAGAAGTAAATGTAGAAGGTAATGGTTTCCAGAGATAAGGGGCACGGAGGGCAAAGGCTCTGAAGCCAACTGATTTGTTTTTAATGAAGGGATGACCAGGAGACCAGCATAGAGAGAGAAGACAGCTAGGTAACAGATCTGAATACTTTCACCAGAGTCCCTAATTTACACACAGGAGTACTTTTAGGTCATAATGTACTGCTGTAAACTGTAAACGTTTGTCTGTGTGTATTGTGTAAAGCACATGCACCCTGTTGTGAGATGATTACTGGGATATAAAGAGAGAAAAAAACTTAATTATTACAACACTATATTACTTTTAGTTTCAGACTTTTTTCTAATATTTGATTTTTACTTGAGAAACCTTCTTGAAAATGTATTCTGGCTTGTCATGAAATAATCTGAGGGGAAAATCAAACTTTGAAATATACGTTAAATAAAAAAAAGTGAGGACACATTGAAGTGACAGTGTGGTACAGCCAGTGGCCGCTAGCTGGAGTTGCTGCTCCACTTGCTTACACGTGTTCTGTTGCAGGAAGCTGAGGCTGCTTCTGGCTCACACAGAAGTACACTCTGTGACCACTGGATGGTGGCGATACTTCACATTCAATAGGAGCCACAAGACGCACAGACTAATAACAAAGACGCCTACATCAGCAGAGAGGGAGTACATTTATGGCACTGTATCACTGCTCTGATGCAATGCTAAGCAACAGTTAAGAAACATTACAGCAGGACTCAGATTTTAGGTTAATTTATTTTCATTCTGTATTCGATTCCCACTGAGTGTAACAATGATAACATCATTTTGCATCTCAGACAACCAAGCCATTAAAACATACAGGAAATGTACACAAACCTTAACGTCTCATATGTTGATGAATTGTCGTTGATGCAGGTAAGGCACTACATACCAGAAATTCCACTATTTCTGCCTGGCCAACAGTGTCAAGGTCAGTCTAATTTTGAACCGAGTACAATGATATTTTTAGAAAGCCTAATACAGAACACAAGTCCAGTTACACACAGTACACCAGCATGTATAAACTACCTTGCATAGCTAAATGTCTTCCTGTCTCCCTTATGCAACTCAGTTTAACAGAGAAAACTGACGCATAGAAAACAGTCCTTTCTGAAGGTGAAGCAGTGTTTTCATTACAGTGCTGGGAGTTCCCACTGACTCTTACTGAGGAATGAATACAACATTGGAATGAGACTACATTCCAATGCTAAGCTGCCACCTCCCTCTACCACTCCTTCTAAAACACTCGCTCACGTATCCAATCCCAAGGGTCATGTGATCACAGGATCCAGTGACCTTGATCTGGGGGGTTGTGGAAACAGCAGCACAATGATGTTGTCTCTGGAGATAGCTCCAACACCAAGTACACATAAAAAAAGGGGGTAATGGATGCTTGTTTCCATGGGCTACCTACCAAGCGGGGAGCAGCGCTGCGGCGGCAGACTGCGGCGCTGGAGGCTGGGGGCATTGGGAGGCCTGCTCTGAGCATGGGAGGCTTCACTGGGGGGCGCTGTGGCGTTGTGGAGAGGTGTGTCATCGCTGCCATTGCCGGGATCTGCAGGACAGGGAAGGATGTCAGAGAAGAGAAAAATGTAGTCCGTGAATGTGTCCAGATTTTGAAAGGTTGCAATTTACAGGGATCTATGAACCCTGTGATGCTGAACAGGAATGAGTAGGGTTGGATAAATAGATACAGCACTGGCATCCACTTTCAGTGCCTCCATGTTTGCACTTCTTGTTTTGTTTGTTGTGTGAGAATAAAATGGTTGAAATGTTGTACATCTCAGTGCATTACTGTGGATCAAGACGTATTTATCAATACCGGGCTGCACAAACTCCAAAGATATTTGATCCTTCTGAACTGTTCCTGACAATATGCTACAAAAATAAGTATGCAACTTGGCTTAATATAGTATGCTCTCTTGATATTGAATTTTCACATCGAGTCTTGTTTCTTATGAACAAAGCTCTAATTTAGTTCAGTCAAAGTGTGAAAAAAAATAAACCCTGTGGGATGGGAGCTTTGTAGCTGTAATTAGTCAATGCATTACCGTTTTTCATAATTTGTACATACACAGAATAGTGCCAGTGCATAAATGTACTGCTGTAAATAAAAGCATATATTTTGTCCCGATTAGTAACAATGCTGTAAATCATCTCTCATACAGTACTTACCATATATCATTGCTTTTGTATCTATTGCATCAAGTATCAGCAGACCACTATCTTTCCTTGGAGAGTAGTTTTTTTTCTAAACTGCAGAAATTCACTAAGACTAGTGGAAAAGCAGAACGCTGCAAACATCTTAATTATTCATAACAGCAGTTAATACGCCTCTAGCTTTCTGCGGATATGAAAGGCTTTGATTCATAGACAAACTGAGGCTGTAGAAAGAAGTAGTCCAACAGAGAAACATCACCAAGAACAAACATCCCCACCATACGAACAGGGAGCTCCTCACGGTTGTTACACATTGTCAGACATTGTTGTTTTCTTTCATAAAATGTCATCAGGAGCTCTGGATTCCAGCACCGCAGACAATTCAGCATGTACGTTTACTTCGTCGGTGCAAGTGAAACCAGGTAGCTCCAATTACTTATCATGAAATATTCAGCTGCTCAATCAATAACTCTGGGCATATGCGGCACCTAAAGGTGCATCAGCACTCTCAGAGAGGAAAGGAGGACACATGTGTGCCCTTGAAGTAAAATATCATTATTCTGATCTGAGAAAGAATGAAGCAGAAGATGGTTCAAGGAGCCTGAAATCACAGATGAAACAACAAGCTGTTGTAGTAAAATATAATTGAATACAAAATAAATTAACTTCACTTTTGATGTCAAAATGCCCGGGGCCTGTATGCAACCTCCAGTGGGATCACAGCAGCTCTCCTCACTGCAACGGATTCACCTGGGAGAGTCAGCAGATGCTTTTCTTTCCAACATCGACTTACTGAAAGTCTGAGCCAAGAAGCAGATCGGTTGAAGCAGTCGGTTGGAGGCCGACTCACACTGCTGTATGCTTGTTTCTAACAATTTTGAAAAGTCAGCTTTTTAAAAACCAACATGGCTCAGTTCAAAATTTTGTTTCAAAACAAAACTCCTGCTCTCTTCTCTGATCAGATGATTTGCTACCACTACACCTCATAGTACAGTACAAATCCATCCCCTGCTGTAAGCATCCACTGATCAGTGTTACACCAGCAAGAAGGACTCTGCTGGTGACTAATTCATGTGACAACAGACAGGTTAAGAAAAAAAACAAAGCAATTTTGCATTGTATTTGCAATAACGCTCATCTTTATCATGTCTACTTAATGAGCAATTCTCATATCTTTGCTAAGATAGTTAAGATGTCTTGATTCTGGAAATACACAAATTCAGACAGATATAGGAAAATGAAAAGTAATTTTTCTTTTCTTTTTATTTGGTCGGATTAGTTTGATACAATTCTTTTATCATATCCAATCAAAAGTAACATTAAGCAGATCTCCTCTTGAGAAGATGGAACCGAAAAATGCCGTCTGACTTGAAGAAAATTGTGTCTGGTGGTCTTTTTTCCCTGCAGGACATGACAGGGTTGAGGGACTAATCCACAAGAAAAAAGGCTTATTATTCATAACATGCCACAGAGATTTGTGCTGCTTCAACTGCTTTGAAGTCTCACTTGGAACTGGTACGCTAAGTACAAAGTTGGATTATAAAGTATAGTCACAAGTAGCTATACAAAATGTCCAAATCTCCAATATGTACATATTAAATGTAATGCTATTTGTTTAAGCACCAGAACACACCTATGGTCAGATTGTGGAAGGTGAAAGTTTACATACATAATCAACTATAACTGACCACTCAATCAAATGTTAGACGGCCTTTAAACAGCGTTCACTGTGTTCACCTTCATTAAATCCCTTGAAAACACCATGCTGGTGCAGTATAACCATACAGAACTCTCCAGTCATAGACAATCTCAATAATTAGCTATTTTATGGAGGCTACCAGGGCTCACATTACTCTTATCCAACTCTCTTTTTAGCACAAATAACATCTCATGTGGAAGCCTTGAAAGCCATTGCAGTGCAAACGTTGTTGTGTAACTTTTACTAAACTATGCAATACGGTTTCCCAAAAATCAACGAACTGATTAACTGATGGAAAATAATACTCCATCTGTCTTACCCCAAAACAATGTCCCATCAACATTCTGGCCCTGTCCGCATACTCAGTTATTTTTGCTGTCTTGTGTGAAACCAAGTAAACTACGAAGATATTGTGATCATCAGGTTCACATTCGCTTAACATCTACTACTGTGAGTGCAACTGGCAACCATGCTGTAACTCCAAACACACTTAACAGACACATGAGCATACTGTGTGCTCATAACAGACTCCCGCAGAGCTAACTGGACAGATGTATTCAACACATCACCAGCATCCTGATGTTCATCATTGAAAGATTTACTTACTCCCTGAAGTGTATCCTCAGTGAACGTGCGGCTGCATTCGATGCATACGGTGGCATGCTAATAGAGCGGCGCTGTCAGAGCCAACAGCCTGAAGGGAAACACTGCAATGCAAGCTGCCAGTCTATGCTGTCTGAGCTACTCTCAAGCATTTTACTATTTGGTACACACCCATCTATATTCATTAAGGCAGCTGAGAGGAACACAGCTAATTTAAAGAAAGACCCTGCATGAGGCAACAGCTCCAACGCTTATCTGGACATTTAGTTTGAATGATTTGAATGCATTTTATTTAATTTAGTTAAATCTGTATTTAAAACTACCAAAAGTAAAGATTCTGAACAGCTGCTTGAGGTGTCATTTTGTGACTCAGTCAAACAGGATCATAGGATGAATGTAAAGACGCAGGAGGATACACACAAAAAAGAACACATTCTTACATCTCTGTTACACTCACATAATCAGCTTGTCCAGTGAATTATACCAGCATTGATTTCTCTACATGAAGACTGCAGCACCAGGATCCGATCCAGATTAAATGCTGCAGTATGCAGGCTGAGCGGAGCCAGCAGAGGGCGGACAGAAAGATTTATAGACGTGGAAACCTCTGCGGTGCAGTAGCTTTCAGCGCCTACTCGTGATAAATAAATGAAAAATGAAAGGAAGCGAGCGGCTGTTACTATAGTAACTGAGCATAGCAAGGGCGGCCAGGACTACCAGTGAACCAACATGGAGATGTGAATGCAATAAAACGTGAAAGTGGAATATAAGGCAGACAAATTCAACAGAGTACTATCTGTCTGATGTCTGAAATATTTGTGTCTGAGTCTCTCACATTTTAAGATAAAGTAGTAAAAAATCTATCACCCAATTGAAAGGAAATGTATGCAGAGAGCGTGACTCACGCTGAGAGGGTCGGCAGGGATCGCTGTGACAGCTTTCGCTAGACTGGTTGCTGGACACAGAGGAGACGCTGGAGGTCCGGGCGAAGCCGAAGGTGGCCATACGGGCAGCTGGCAGGCCGGAGAAGCATGGAGGACGGAGACCAGACTGGCCTGATTTATGCAGGACACTCTTGGGGCCGGTTTCTGGACCTCTCTCTCCTGACCTCTTTTGCTCTCCTGGAGGTAGATAAAATATGCAATAAGACAGTACCAGTGTGTGAATCTAAAACTAAAATGAAGATTTATTGGGAGGGAATATTAAGGAAATACACCACCAATTTCACCACTAATACACAAGTCACAGGAGTAAAAAAACGATTATGCCAGCATCTAAGCGTCTCACCTGCAGGGTCCGGGTAGCCATGGGTGGACGCTCCGACTGCCTGAGCAGACTGGCCTGGGACTGGGGCTGACCTTTGACCTGTCTGCTGAACTCTTGTCTTGGCTGCAGGTTGCCTGGTGACTGCCCCCAACCCCAGCTGAGGCCTCAGAGCTCTGGGTGAGCGGTAGACACTGCCTCCTTCTTGGGAAACATGCTGGGGAGGAACATTAAAAAACAGTCAATCATTGTCTTCAAATATTTCACGACTGGTAACACGATGATATATATATATTTATGGCATGCAATGACAAACTAGATGATATTAATTCAAAAGACCATTGTTCACCTCTTGGAGATATTTCTCAGACATTTCCTCATGGAAACTGCCCGACTTCCCACTCAGCCTTTGAGGGATGGTGCTGCTTGGAGGTTTCATCCCAGTCGCAGCCATGCCCGGAGGATAGTACCCCACCTTCTGCATCTCCTGTCGATATTTGTCAAACAGCAGGTTGGAGGAACATAGCACCGGTGTGGATTTAGGTTGAGGACCAACCTGTGGATCTTTTTGAGTCGGTTGGCTGGAGTAAGAAGATAGTCTCAGTGGGAGTGCAGAGGCTTCGAGTGGGGCATCTGTCCCTTGTGGTTTTGCTTGAGGATTCTTACGAACATAGGTGATGATTTTTGGTCGGACATTTTTAGGCTTCTGGGGAGGAGAAGTCCTCCTGGGTTCAGGCTCTTTCTGCTGAGACGTGACAGGTTTGGGTATGCAACTGTTCAAACTTGTCTTACTTGGTGGTCTGACTGTTTGGCTTAAACCTCTCTGAGGGGAGTCACTGCGCTCCAAGCTCAGTGCCCTGATGCTCTGGACCTTGGCTGGAGAACCAGGTGGTCGTCTCTTGGGGGAACAGGAGGTTGTTTTAGGGGAATTAGGAGTGGCTGTTCGACTGGGACTTCCCCATGGCTTCCTCCTCTCCAGACTTGAAGTGCTGGAGGTGACGGTTTTCTCAAAGGAGCCCTGCTTTTTTAAGGTGTTATCAAAGGAAAGCTGCTTCTTTAAAGTATTATCAAACAATGGCTGCTTTTTGAAACTCTTGTCGAAGGAGTTTTGTTTTTTCAACGAGTTATCAAATGATCCTTTATTCTTTGTGGCTTTGGATTCAATTGATGATTGAGTCCCTTTAGTACCCGTTTTTGGCAGGCTGTAGTTCACAACAGGGGCCTCATCAGCTTGTGTGCTTTTATCATTTTTAGGGCTTTCTTCATGAGATGTTTTAGCAGCATGTGAACCTTTGTGCTCTGTACTTCTCCATCGATAACATTCTCCCTCTGAAATGGTATTCCCTGCTTTATTTATCTGGTTTTTGTTCGTCCTGTGCTCATCAATGACACCCTCACACAGATCAACTCCATTGCCCACTTGTGCCTGTAATACCACATCCTCTGAGTGAACTGTTGAATTCAAATTCATGTCCACATCAGCCCTGTGTATTGTGCTTTTTCCAGAGGAGAGGGAAGGATGATCAGCTTTTTGAGAGGCCTTGCCGCTCTCAGTGATGGTGTTGCCATTCAGGGAGACCAGAGTCAAGTCTTCTGAGATGGTTGAGTAAGGACCAGAGGCCATGTTCCAGGAGTCTGTAGTCTGCGTCCTGCCAGCAGTGTCCATAGCAGTGTCCATGCTTGAAATGCTGGACAGACAGGTTACAAAAACATCAGTTTCTGAGCTAAACTCAGTCCTGGACGCCTCTCTGCTCTCAGAGACATGAGAGGCACTGGATTCCTGCTCACTGGCGCAATGCTGAACAGACTTTCTCTCTTCCCTGCTCTTAATATCCGTTACTTGTTCCACTGTAGCTTTGCTGCATGAAGACCGCTGTTTACGGTCTACAAGCCCCACAATGTCCTCTCCATCCTCAACCAGGTACGCCTCCAGCTCCCGACACTCCAGCATCTCAAACTCAGCCAGATCGGGGTCGTCACACTGGGAGTCTGTACCCCAGATGATGAATTTGTCCTGCTGTGCCGTTTCAGTCATCAGTCCAGACAGAGTGCCAGTATCGCCCGCCATCCCGCCATCCTCTGTCTGGATTTCATTGGCGTTGGCATCACCGTCAGCCAGCACGCCACCCTGCTGGTTGTTATTCCTTACTTCCCCGTCACCAAAAGTCTCTCCTCGCTCACTCATTTTGGAAATAGCTCTGAGTTTACAGCTCCCCCAAGAGCACTTTCAAAATCAATTATCCATGGCATCAATTACAAAAAAGTCTGTCTATTCATCAAAGACTCTTAATGGCACAGCAGTAGCCTAGAATTGATTTTCACATTTCTTTCCGGCATGCCAGTTGTCATAATGTCTAATATCATGTCTAATTTGGAGGATGAATCTTCTTGAAACCTGGGGTCCTTATCCTGTATTGAAAAAAAGATGACAAATCAGAATATCAACAAATGAGAGATCACGTAGAAAGAAATCTCCCAGAAACTAGTCAGAGAGCTAGATTTGGCAAAGTGTTACAAACATTTGACTTTAGAGTGATAAGTCTGTGAAGAAAAGAAAAAATCAAAAGAAAAATGTGCATTTGGATTTAATCATCCCACACACACATGCAGTGAAGTTTACAAATTATAAGCAGTTTGCAAATGCAGGTTCAACGGTTTGTATAACATCTAAATATGTTTTTGATGAAAATTGCAAAAACTTTTAATGACATATTTGTGGACTTATAATATATTTATTTAACAACAGGATGTATCGGTGTGTGCATCATACATCTGCAAACCTTATTATTTTATATTGTCTGTGGAATTGTTTTTAAATTTATATACAATAACAATTTTTATGTGCTTTGAAAATATTTTTGTGGAGATGGTCATTTCATTACATTTGTGAATCCTTCTGTGTGCATTCATTTATATTGAGACTGATCTGACTCCACAGCGAACAAACACGTGTTCTCAGATCATCCGGTTCCAGGATCCATCCATCCATTAATGCTTGATTGCAAAAGCTAAAACTAGGACATATTTCACTCGTGGTTTATTTGCCAAAATGATTTTCTCCACTGAAAGCTGATCGATCATAAAGTTTGGCAACATGTCAAAAAGAACAACATCATTTATTAAAAGGGCCAGAGAGAAGACAAGACTTCCAACAGGAGCCCGTTGACCTCTCAGATAAAAAAGAAATTCCACTTACATTATGACATTCCCATTATAACTACTGCATTAATTCCAACTGGAAGTTACTAAGCTAATTATATTTGACTAATTATCTTTGCAGCAACACTGAATTGCATTGAACAGCTTCTAGGGAAATATTGACTGATTTGTCTTTTAACCGTCCTTGTTTTATAGCCAACAAAATAAATGTTGCTCTTGCTAGTGAATACACGTGGATGATATCATTTCTATTATGGACACTACTGCTGTCCCGACCTGTGTCTGTGACTAACAGACATGACGTTTCATGCTTCTGCTCAACAGTCAGCCTTTCAGTGTAGTTTCTAAGATTGCCTCCTTCAAACTGTGAATAGTCTCAAGCAACTTTGTTAAGATAATCTACATTGCACGGCAACTGTTATTTTCTACAATCCCCAAAGCATTTTCGTTCCGCATCAGTCATTGCTTACTTTTCCCTTTTCTTCTGAAAAACTCCTGTAAACACATACAATGTTACCAATCCCAGAGCATTTGGTTAACAGCCAACAACAACAACAACAACACGTCACTGTCACTGACATGACGAGAAGCATCTTATTTGTTATTCTTGCAGAGGAGCTGTGTGCTTGCTGCATAATGACAGCATGCTGCTTTGTCGGGCGAACAGGTGGCGGTTAAGTCTGTTTGCTCCCACATTAGCTATGAATGGGTACACAATTACAGTGTTTACATGGAAGAATATATGTGACAGGTCATGTCTGAACTGGTGCGACTGGTGCTTATCGGAGTTCTCCATTTGTTCATGAGGAACTTGTCACACACAAAATGATACCGATGTGGGACTCTTAGTGCGGAGAAGATACGTCTTGTAGTACCACGTGGTACCACAACGTGGCCGCTCACAGTCACTACTGATCATAAGGGCTGTATTTAATAATTGCTATAACAACCCAATGATTATTAGCAGCAAGAAGGTGAGTTCACTATAGTTCTGATGTTTAGAGTCTCTGATTTGGATTATACTATAAATTGGAAAAACCCAGTGGTGATCCATTCCTGCCGTTTCATGTCTTCATCCAAAGGCACATAATAAAGTGTGTCTGAGATTGACCTACTTCCGGAGTGGCTTCTTGTACAGTACGGAGAGCTTTAGCAGACCCTCAGAAGCACTTGCACATTAAGTTCCCACACCGCCACTTATTTGCCATTATTTATCTCCGTTTGTCAAGTACAGCTATAGGTACAATCAGTTCATTTGTTTTAATAAAACATTTTATTATCATGTTTTTCCATTATGTAGTCATACCTGGTTCAAAGGGCCTTGATAGTTTTTGTGTTTTCCTACTCAAGTCACAAACAGAATAAAAGATATTTTGTCTCTAAAAGGGATGTCATGACTGAAAATGGAAGCGCAAAACAGATACCTGTAGAAAACAACTTGGGGCTAAAGTAGAGCTAAACTGAGTTCTCCGTTTGTCCCCGTCAAACTCATCAGCTGATTAGCATGAAACCTGACTGACCACTGCTCCACCTCATCTCTTTGTTCCCTGTATGTCCAAACAAATTCACTTACACAGCAGGAAATAGCATCTCATTTCCCTTCTTATGAAAACAAAACGGTTGTGTTATAATAGACTTTGCTGCATGTTTCGAACAAGGAGTGGGATACTAATGGTAACAAAACATGTATGTTGTTTTTTTAAAACTTAAAAAGAGGGCCCAAAGACAGCAGTGTGTGGTTTGAAGTACAGGCTATAACACACTACACTAAATGCCGTCTCAGCACCTGCAATGCAGGACAGAAATCGATGAATCAGATTCCCTTGTACCTGCCTCTCCCCTCGCCTCCCTATCAGGTCTGTACCACACGCTTACTTTACTGCTGTTCAACCACATGAAGCCACAAACTCCCTCTGGGTAACCAGACAACCAATGAAGCGGTGGTTAAGATTCTTACATGTAGCATGTTGCCTGACAAGAATTGACAAACTGGATGGATGAAGTCTTGTTTCAAGAGAAAAGTTGCAGGAACGGGATTGTTTCTGCTGCAGACAGTTTTCTTTAATTGATTTCCAACTATAATTCAATGCAGTGCAGATGCAACAGTACTGTACATTATATCATCTGAACAGGGGTGGCATGATGGATATAGTTCACTAGCTTGGTACTGTATATACAGTATATATACATATATATACATACATATGTATATATACATATATATACATACATATGTATATATACATATATATACATACATATGTATATATACATATATATACATACATATGTATATATACATATATATACATACATATGTATATATACATATATATACATACATATGTATATATACATATATATACATACATATGTATATATACATATATATACATACATATGTATATATACATATATATACATACATATGTATATATACATATATATACATACATATGTATATATACATATATATA